TGTGGCACTGTAAAGGCAAACAGAAAATGTTTCCATATTGACACGTAGAGCCACCACCATGTAAAATGAAAGAGTATGAACCAAAGTGTTTGGCAAATGCTATAAAGAACAATATTACCTAGGGTGAGTGAATTTTCTATCCATTCTTCACAATATTAGAACTGACTCCATGCATGTATTGTGTAAGGAATTGAAAAAAGGGATTTTGCACTGCGTGTAATCTCTTATTTTATAGATGTCACTAAAACAGCAAATTTAAGAGTAATCAGAGTGTTCTACAGAATTAACAGCGCTGTGTATCATCCATTGTTGGAGTTCACAGGTACGGACGACGCGACCACGGCAGGCCGCAGACCAGCTATGGCCATCAGACCATCGGATCAATAGCAAAGTGCAGAGTTCAACTCCTGTGAATACCAACATCTAGTGTAGTGATGCTTGATATGCTTTTGTAAAATACTCTACTTCATTATTTGTTTTCTAAACCATTTTGATTAAATTAATTTCCCTGTTGCCACTGATGATGACCTCTTGAGGTTGAAACGTGTATGGCACTAGTGTCTTTTTTATAGTGTTTAATAGTTTGTTTGCTTATTTTATAAACAAAACAAATACAAAACTGTGACACTATACCTTCAACCAATCCATTACATCCTTTGGCACTTCATTGTTGAATTTATTACACCATAACGACAGCATTTCTAAAGCTTCAATCAGGGTCTTTTCATGAACTGAAACAAATGTAGAAGACAAAGACATTATGAACTGTTAACAGTAAGTATCAATAAACAAAACTTCAGTATTTCCTCTAGAATGTCTGTAACAAAATGGTATCAGATCAGATGCGGAGAGGAATGTGGCATTATACGGTCCACATACACACAGATACAATCACTCTGATTTATATATACACACATGGGGAAAATAATATTTTAGACAAAAATGGGAGGTAAAAGTTGTCCCTGGTACTTATTACACACCATGCTTTGGAGACGTGTTGTAGTGGAGGTATTACAACACTACTTTTTAACCTCCTCATATATATGGAGGCAGAGGATAATATTAAAATAGAACTTAAGGAACTAGGCTGGAAGTGTGCTGGCCAGATTCATCAGGCTCAGGGCACGGATCAGCGGTGGGCTCCCACTGAAGTTGGTAATGAACCTAGAAGTCACATAAAAGGGTGGGTATTTGATTGAGATCCATGGAGTAACATTTCACAGCATGTAAGAGTACAATACAGCACTCAACAACATACCTACATATTTGTCTCAATCGCTAGTAGCAGAATCCTTAGGTTCAACATACCCAATACCATACCTCAAAAATATAAATCATTCCAGGCCAGTTCTATCCTCAGAAATTACTTTCCTAACACCCACCTTGATATTATCATCCCATCGCCTACTTAGCCTTCCAATTAGCCACTTTTCATTAAATTTCCAATCAAAATTCTGTCTGTATTTGTTGTCTCCTGCATCCTAGCTCTTCACTGCCTCAATAATTTCACTGTACAAACAATACTTATGGACCTGTATATATCACTAAATTCCTAATTCTACAATTCCTAAATTCTCCATTTCAGTAATTTCTTTTAGGTCCAAATCTTTTCTTTCCCACTCCATTTTCAAACACTCAGTTTGTACCTGTCAAATAAAAAATTATGCATCTCAATTACAAGTATCATTTTCTTAAAACAATTAGTTTATTCCGAGAACCAACAGAAACCCATAAGCACGCTAAAGGGGGAAAAAGCAGACTTAATGAATGCAAAATAGGTGATACATCATACATTATTTATCACTGTGCTTTACATAGATAAGTGCTCACAATTCACGATCATATAAAGCAGACCAGATGGGATAAATAGGATAATACCATCCTAAGAGAATAACATGAATTTCACAAATTTATTCTTCTCATACTTTCATCCATATCCTTATTTATGTTTGTTCCAAGATACTTACATTTTGGCACATTTTTAAGTTAGTTTTACATTGATTATGCCTTCATTGCTGGTTTTGGTTTTCATTATGTGACATTTTCATACATTTGCTATTTTACCTGTATGCATGTTTTGTACTGTTTTTATTGCATTTATGTTCTCCTTATGAAATCTCTGCCAATAAGTGCCTGATTAAAATCATGCGATTCTATCTTTTACAGATTCTCTTGAACTTTCCAGACAGAACATTCTAAAGCAACAATAAAAAGCGATGGTGTTAAAACACCACTTGCAAAATTGTAATGTTCAAATTCATTTTCATTTGTCCAATATTAATCAAATGTCTTAACATCAAATAAATAACAAAAGTGTGTTTAAAAAGACACGCTCTGAGAAAACCAAGTTAACATGCATTTGCTGAGTAAGACTGCTGTAGCAATTGCTTCTTCCAATTCACATTTCTTTAGTGTGGCAATTCTTAGTGCTCTCACCTTCTACATCCAACACTTTAATAAAATGGTGTGCTGCAACAGTAGCCAGCCTCTGTGAACTGTAGCCAGTCGTCACTGCATTGCAACTCAAACTGCCTGCACCCTGACAACACAGTAATCACAGTCACAATTAGTGCTTTTATGAAACTTATTTCTTATATTGGTTCACTTGAAATTATGTATTAATTAATTCACTGAAATAACATTACATGTTAGAAGTATATGTTTGACGTATCTGAAAAATATTTTATTCAGCAGCAACAACAATTTCAAACACACTGAACAAACTACAGCATATCTCCCACTGCCACAATATTTTTTCAATTCTTGGGAAATTTATGATTCCTGTCAGTTATAAATCTGACTCTGAAACATAAAGGGGTTCTCTGTTGGTCCAAACTGATGACCTGTGTATTCACCATAATCTAAATTATATCCATAATTAGGCTGGCAAAGTACATATTCTGCCTAAATTTCAATACTCCCTAAGCCTGAGCTGATAGGACACCCTTAGCTGAACATTAAATTTCATGCTTTCAGTCATATATAAATTTCTACCTTAGAGAAACAAGTCTTATTTTCAGATTTCCAGTCAAATATACACAAGATATAGCAACAATACATAAAGTAAATTATGATTAAAGCACAGAAACTGGAAGTCTCAGCACATAAATTGCAGTTATATGCTGAGACCAGGGTAAAGCTGCTGAAATTGCACTGACACCCAAATCACACCACAACCAATTTTCAATCATACACTGTATTGTCATGTTATCTACTGAATGTAGCATCAACTAAAGAGTATACCCATGACGCCTCAGTAGCAGTTTCAACGTCACTGAGGTGGAAGCCATATTAAAGTTACCTAAAAACAAAACAGGCCAAGTTTGTGGATTTTTACAATTTTTTATAAGTTTACAGAAGAGGTAAGGCCAATGCTGAGAAGCCTGCATTGTAAGACAGGTGATACCAATGTCTTACCTGAAGAACACTCATCTTGTGTGTTGCTACAGTAAGCTTCCCTTCACTGCCGTGGAATACGTCAAAGAGATGCTGTAACAGACCTTCTAATGCACCAGCATCACTGCACTGCAGGGCCAGACAACGACACGCAGAAACTGACTCTTCACGAGCAAGGTCTTCCTTGGAGTGCAAGTTTGCTGGAAGAAACATTCATAGACAGCCACAAAATAAAATTGAGATGCAGGTGCACTTACAGCACATCCGGCATATAGAGCAGAGTACGATGTCTTGTGGTCTTTCATTTTCAATGGCCTTAGCCTCCAATTACCTGTTTGTTTTCTTACACTGGGCTAAAATGTAGTACCATTTCTTCTGTTAAGACAGCAGTAAAAGCAAATCACAATTTAAACAAAATACAACATTCTGCAACAACAACAGCAACAATATATGGAATAACAATAAGGATCACGATAATGATGATGACGATGATAAGAACAGCAGCAGCAATAACAATTCAATTTTTTATTACACCATGCTTATTCAACAGCCAATTATTACAGAATTAGTACAAGAAGATAAGGTACATACAAAACACTGAAAATAAGAGAAAACTTAAAACTAAACAAGACACCTTTATGTAACGAGATGACATCCTCAAGGGAGACAATGTGTTTGCAAACAAATGTTTAGAAATCTGCACATCATTTGCAGCAATAACACACCTGGCTGAAAGACTGTCATACTGCACTGCTCACACCGAAAGCTGAAAATTCTTTTATTTACCTTGTAGGCCCACAAATACCAACAGTGTCCATGACAGAATGGCAACTGATTTTGCCCCTGAAAACATTAGTATGAAATAAAACATCCACATATCATTCTTAGGAATAAAGTGTTCTAAAATATAAAAGAATTAAATCATAATTGTGTAAAATACCAAACTTAAAAATAATTATAACAGAAATTGGCAAATTTTCTTTGTATATTTTCTATTTTATTGGAGTCAGTCTTTGTAAACGTATTCTACACATCAAGAGGCATACACTAGGTTTGATCTAATTGAAGCACTATATAAAACAAATAGACTATCTAAAGAAGAAAAGTTACAAATAAAATAAATAAGCTCCATGTCCTTAGTGCCTGAGCCTATACAAAGTTGACAGAATGAAAATGCAGCTTCTTAACATATCACGAAGATCTTTCAAACTGTCAGAATGCAAAATAAAGAAATCTTTAACATAATAGTTCAAATGTGTATACTATTTGTCTTATATGTGAAAAAGTAATTTTTTTTTTCTGAATGTTGAGGGCCAGACACTTTTCACCTTACCACTGTTCTACCACACAAATGGCAACTTGAAGAGCTCTACAGCCTTCAATACAGGGCTGTGGAGTCGGTAAAAATGTAATATTAATAATTTTCAACAACTTTTGCATAACAACCAGGAAGAAAATGATTTCCTCTCAGTAAACTGTAATTGGCTGCAAAAGGAACTTCAACACATACACCCATCAGGAGTTTCCAAAATCACATCTCCATTTAACCCCTCAAAATGATCTGGAAACTGCAACTCGCAATCCATTTCCGCATTTAGTATTCAAGGTAAAACAGTCACTATCAGCATGAAACACATAGCATAAACCATAAAATAAATTATGACAAAAACAGAAACATTCAAACAGGTTTCTATAGACAAAACACTAGTAAATATTTTAAAATAAGAATTAATTTCTATCTAGCAACTTCCATATTATAAGTGGCAAATTATGTGAGAACCCCACCACCGTTATAACGCAATCGTTGAGCAATTACGTGAGTAACATGGTATATGTTAACTACATAATAACTAAAAATACCAAGTATAATGTAAGCTGAACTATGAAAGGAAATGCTGAAACTACATTCTGTATAAAAGTAATGTTTATAAAGGAAAAAAACTAGTTATGTATTTCTATTTCATCATGTAAAAGGAAATCTACTTCAAGAAGTCAGTAAGATTAGAGAGAGAGGGAGAGACTGCAAAACAAGCCGCGGACTCTGCCCAATCTGGCAACTTACTTGCAAGGCTCCTTCCGACATCCTGGGCATACTGACTCATATCTAGGAACAGGCCCTCAATAACATGACCAACACTTTCCAAAATGATTTCTGGGTTGCGCAGCATTGCTTTCTGCATGGCAGGCAACAGCTGCCGCTTGAATTCTTCATGTGAAACATGCTTTAGCAGAGAATCAGATGCCCTGATGGCATACACAGCAGGTTTTGTCTTGCAACTGATTGCTACTTTAATGAACATTTCCAAAAGTGTAACCTAAAAACAAAACCAATAATTTACAATAATTCCAAAATAATATAATATAATATAAATGTCTATTACCTTTAAACTTTTCAAGTAATACCAATTATTCACACATTTATATCTGACGCTATTTTCTTAAAAATATCTTTAAGACACCCCCTTTTTAATACATTTATATTACTTCTTACTACATTAAAATTACATTTCAATTAACCGAATGAATATAAAAATGTAGTATTTCATTTTTATCTTGACAGAGAAAGTATAAGTTTACTCAAGCAGGAATAAGTACCGACACCAGCTGCACTGCTGGGTTTCAAATGTAACAACATGCACAGTTTAGTGTGATGCACGTTTCTTTCAAAGATTCTAACTTCATCTTAACATAATATTAACAGCACACAGTTTTATTTATTTATTTTGTAGTTTATACAGTTACAAAGTTATACTTCATTGCTCCATTTTACCAGTACATGATATTTTACACAAAGGCTAATGCTTCTAGCCTGAAAAAGAAAATGTGGCCGAGTTCTAAAAGGCACGAAATTGTAACGTGTGACAAACACGTTTAGCTGTGTGTAAACAAAATATTCTGAGAGAAGTGAACTGAATTATAAGTGAAATCACTTCCCTCTTCCTGTGGCTCTACAACCCAGTGTGGGTCTTGGCCGCCTCCTTTCGGAGGTTTCTTAGTCTTTCAAGTGTGCATTTGTGAGTAGTGAGTGACCAGCCCACTGCATCTGCACAATTTCTACTAAATATTGATTTTGTCTACTCGAGCCATCTAGTAGAGAATCAGGAGACATGGTTGAGAAATGGCCGCTGAATTTCGCTTATGAAACAACTCGTTCATGCCCGTAAGTTCTTTTAAATGCCGAAAATCTAAGACGTGGGACCGCCAGCTTTACTTCCCCTCCGAAGGAAGTTGTGCTATGGATTTTTATCACCCTTAAAAATCAATCACCCTTAGCTGAGTTTGAACCCGCACACCTTGAGTCCAGTGGCAAGCACACTAACCACTAGTCCGAGGGTGACAAGTGAAGTCACTATAGCAACCTATATGTCAAGTGCCTGTTTCTATAAGTAACAGAACAAAGTCTACTGTTGACTATAAGCAAGAATAAGGAAAGCAGAAAGGTATGAATAAATTGCACCATCTGATTTTGATAGGAGGAGAATTAGGCAGGACAAAGATGGTTCTTGAACCGTTAGTGTCTTCTTCATTAAGTCACCTTACATGGTTGGCAGCCCAAGAAGAATTTATTATTCTAAGACTGCTTTCACACATGAGCCCATTAGCGGCTCTCTGAGCCACTATGCAGCTCATGTGGAGCCGATATGCAATTCAGAGTTCGGCTCACATGAACCTCCACTAGAGTTACCAACTTCACTCACCCCCTCCAACAACATATTTTCAGTGTATTAGCAGTGTTCATCAAATCATTTTGGAACTTGAAGAAGTAATAGTAATATTTTATAGCATAAATATTATAAATGATTAATAAATAGTACCTATTACAAACAACTTACTGGAGTTTCCCCCCCCAAAATGAGACTTTCCCGTATAAATGTGTTGGCTAGACTGGCTTGATCTGCAGCTCAGCGAGCCTCGTGTGAAAGGGTTCCATGTTAAAGCAAACATAAGTCTCCCTGCCAGTAGCCACTACTAGAGGGGAGAGCTGCATAGTGGCTCATGAGCCGCCCAGCAGCTCTCGTCTGAAAGGGTGCAATGCATTTTGCTGGGATTTCTATCCCTAGCAGTCATTTCAACTCACATGAGCCGCTCACATTAGCCACATGTGAAAGGGCCCTTAGTTGCCGTCAAAGCTTCAAATCATACATCATCACATTTACTTTTGAAATAAACTGCCAATGCTGTACATGGTGTTAGCAGCCATAAACTATGATCCCTACATTCCTGATGAAAAATATCTCCTCAGGTTATTCTGAACTAGAATAATTTTGTTTATGAAAGAAGAGGAAGTGGTCTCCCCATAACCATGAGTTTAAATAGTGATATGATAGCATGTGTTGCAAACACTGATAACTCAAAAAAAAATCTTGTGCACATTTCTTCAAGACACAGGTCTTCATAGACTTACAAGATTCCATATAAATATTGTCCATACACTAGCTCAATAACACACAAATGTAATGATCATGGCATGATATATTAAAATTGTCTTATGCACTGTACTGCTACCCAACTTTTAAACAGCATCTACATTCTACTATCTTAGAATGTAAATCTGATGCATTTTAAAATTTCTAACAGTGCACAGGCACTAAAATAAATAACTTTCATCACATTAATAAAATTCAGCTTACCTTATATTTGTTGATGAGATCCACTCTTTTTGTTTCTGTCAGGTATCGGATGAGGTACGATCCAAATACTACAATATGTGTGCTAGGTTCTGAGCTTGTTAATGCATTTCCATACAACTCCTCACTACCTTTCACAGATCTCCACATGGCCGACAATGTCCGATAGGCTTTAGCACTCTTATTCTTGTTACCAACTGCAAGTACAACTGATAAAAGTGTTCCTTGCGTATCCACAAGACGCTGAAACTCAGCCTTAGCACTATCAGAACAATTACTGAGGCCATGTTCAATCAATAAGCATGACCAGCCTAAAGCATATAACCCACTCTGTGACGTGTGCTTCCTGAAAAGATACATAATTTATTTAAAAGGAATAGAAATACATAACAATGTCTGATAACAGTATAATAGAATAATTACTTATTTCACAAAACATAATGTTAACTGTCAAATATAAATATAAAATCATGTTTTCAGATTAAAGTTACTTTTCAAGTAGGAATATCATAGAAGACGGTAAGTTGAATTTATACAAAAATTAAGTTATCCTCATTCTGACATGGGAAACAGTGGTTGTTAGAAATGGATTAAACAACAGATTGTAAATTCTGTTAACAAAAACTAAAAATGAATGTCATTTCACATTACAGAAATGTACATGTGCAAGTGTGCGCTTACACACATATACATACACACATATTTCAAACACAAGCGGTAAAGGGCAATAAATGAAAATGAAATAACATAAATTATCAACGAAAATGAAAATAATGTGCATATGGTTCTAAAAAACCAAACGATACTGTTATTTAATTTCTGACAACTGACAAAAAAGTCCAACTTTAGAAATGTATACCTTCCATCAACAAATTGCAAGCTTCAAAGGCATGAAAGGATTTCACCTCCCTTACCCCAAAGCTCTCTGTTAACAGTACAGCAATGCTAGCTTTGCTATGTTGCATGTCTGAACTGTCACTACTCTTTAGCAAGTGATCACATCTTGCAGTGGCACTGCTTTCTCACATGTTCGTAATATCTACCGTTTCATGTGTTAAACTGTTGTGTGGTGACATGGAAGATCAACCTGAAATTTCCTCAGCTGTTACATCATCAACAAAGCTGGAGAGATTGAAAAATATCCCATTAGAACCCAGAAGAAGAGGACTATTTACGTGTACAAGTTTTTGAAAGACATTTCTAACCAACCTGAATATTTCAGTAATATAAATGTCCACATTAAAAAGCTAAAACATGAACATATAAAACCGACTACTTAGTTGTATCATGTGGTGTGGTTCTATTACAAATGAAAATGTTATAGCAGGTTGAAGTGAGAATTCCCAAAAAATGTTCAACTCTCCTGAGTGATGATGTTTGTGTTGCAAAGTTGTATGATTTTACCACGCTAGCAATTTGGCGATGATGGCTATAGTTAATGACGATACAATCACATTTCAGATTCTGAAAACACATTCCACCACATGTGGAGATTTGCCAATAAAGTTAAAATGCCCACTAGCATATATCAATCCTGATTCTCGTGGTGGCAAGTATGAAAATGGCTGGCTGGCTGTCTTCTGGGTTGTGCCATGTTGCCAATGTTTCAGACATACTTGCTGCCTCTACATCATAGCAAGCACCTCTGAAATGTAGGTCAACTTCTACCACACTACATGGTGCAGCACCCCAGAAGAAATCTTCATTCTTCAGAGAATCAAAAAAACTTTCATACTAAGTCTGTGTACACAAAATATATTACATTCTGAACACAAATCCTTTGTTGACATCTCTTCTAACCATGCTTAAAATGAGGAAGAGAGAAGACAATACCTAAATCTCTACAAATAATGAAATTAAATATGTAACAAAATGGCTATGCCATAGCTCAGGTGATAAGCCACTGGCTTCTCACTGTGGAGCCCCAGGCTCATGCCTAGGGCAGTCTATGTGGGATTTGTGGTAGACAAAGTGACAATGGGCCAGGTTTATTGCAAAATCCTTGTTTTACCATCAATATCATTCCACTGCTGCTCCATATGTAAAAGTAAAATGCGGGGAATGCACAATAGCCACATTCAGTGCCTGCAATTTCACACAGACAAATTCTCACACCATTCTAAAAATTAAAAAGAGTGACCAAGTTTAAAGCATAACGTCTGAGCACTCCATGTTATGGCATCAGCAAGTATTTTCTTTTGGGAGTTTAAAAACTAGAATATTTGGACTGTAATCAAAATAAACTACCACAAAACTTTAATTGCAATTTACTGTCAATTTTGTTGTTTTAAATTTATATCAGTGAGAATTTCATAGTTTGAAATTAAGCTCTACTGAATTCGATGTATACAATGAAATAAGCAAATAACTAACGTTGACACCAAATTCTTATGTGCAGCAGCAATATCATTTAATGTGGAAGTAAGATGCTTCATGGTCCAATCCCCATGCAGCTTAACAAGGGCAATAATCATGTTCCGAATGTAGAATTGTGATGTGCTATCTCGGTACCGCGGCAACGCAAGTTGTAAAACTTTACAGATGCCTCGAATGATACCTTCCGTGATATCTGTAACAAAAATGCCAGTGATATTAAACAATTTTTAAAAATTTCTATTTAACCTTTATCATATTAATATAGGGGATTTTAACAAAAGCACCCCACGAGAACAACAATTTTACACTGATTATAATCAGTAATAAACAATAATTATTCTTTTCCCTCCCTCATGCTGCTGCTGATAAAGACTAACACACATGAAGATGGCTGTCTTCTGGGTTGTTGCGCCGTGTAGTCTGGTAGAACTACCAGACTGTATGGCGCAGCCATCTCCAGACTCACTGTCATTATAACAAATATTTAGAAACGCTTTGCAATGACAACAGACACTAACATCATCTGGACATGACTACAGGAACTGCACAGTTCATATTTTTGGCTCTTGTAATAATGGTATGACAAGTGAGACACACTGAAAGATTACTGGTACAGTCTTGAATAATTCTACACACCAATTCAAAGTAACATGATAAAATGTGATTTTTTAAACAATTTTGTTTTCCTTGCACCAATGTAAATCAGCCATACATGAGTGATGAGCTATGATAAACTTTGCAAGAAAAAATCTCTTTGACATGTTCAATGGCATCTATGGCAAATTTTACAATCCATCTGAACATTCAACCACACGCAGTCACTGTGTTGTTCAAACAGAGAGTTACTTTCAAGAATTTGTGTTCCTAAGGAACATAAATGCAAGGCAATAAAGATTTACAAATGTTGCAACAAGACTTGCTGAACTTACAACATAAGTATTTCCTCAGGAAAGGACTGGTAAATTGCAACAAAAACAATGACAGCTACACACGCAACAGTGTTTTGTCTCACTAGGACATGAAAGAGACTGACCATACACTTTACATGGACAATATTTTCTCCTCTCTGTATGAATTGGATAAACTGCACACAAGAACTATCAACTGCTGTGGAACTCTCAGACAGGATCATTACGGAATGCTGGTGGACTCTAACACTAAGACACTAAAACGGGGTGACACACGTGCTGGAGTCACAGGATTCTTGGCAGCAATCACTTGGAAGGCAAAAGAGATGTGAGTATACAGATAAATGCCAGTAGAAGACAATTTATGGGATTAAACCAGGAGCCAGTCAATGGTTTATCGTCTGTCCCATGCTCATCACAGTCAGTGTGTGGGCTATGTTACAACACAGAATGGCTTATGGGTACATAATTAGTAAGAAAACAGACATTATTTTGTCATCTGATATGGTCTAAAATATTGAATAGATATATTACCGTAACATCCTATGATAGCCACAGAGACCAGAAAAAATTAAGTGTGATTTTATTTCAACATTTGTTGGGAATGAGTACAAGGAAACCTCAAACTAAATCCAGACCAAGAGAAAGACCAAACCCACAAGCCAATCAAGTGGCTTGTCTTGATGCTCAACATAACACATAGGCCAGCTGAAGGACTGCACTTGTGGTGCTGCATGAATTCAATGATGAAGAAGGGAATTACTACAAAATTTTGGTACTTGAAGTGCTAAGTCGGCTTCTGTACAGACTCATGTCTTCAAAGTTGTATTTCATACTGAAATACAACTTTGGTCAATTTGCATTTGTATATTCTGTATTCAGTACAGTTGAGAAACCTATAACCTGTTCTGGAAAAAAACATTTTTGATCAATTAAAATACAGTTACAGAACTTGGTAACAAATTTTCTTTCAAAATCCTTTAGCAACATTCCAGCATTAATATTTTCAGATATACAGATGTTTTCTCACTACTGCTGTAATGCCATTACTAATTAAATCCCAGCATTAAATCCACACACCAATCATATTACAAGAGCATCTACATACCAAATTCCCACACGATGTTAATTTTCATCAGGCAATGAGCAATATTCAATACAAGAGCGGGTGCCAAGAAGGTAATAAGTGGTTTCTAAGATAGAGTAACTTCTTATTCTTACCATCCTACTGCCTGTGCAGATGTAACAGCTCTTAACTCTGTGGGTTTGTAACTGTCCAAGATGGTGGATAATTATATTTGTAGATAAGCTTGGAATATTGAACAAAGTCTGTACAGACATAACCAGAAGGGGGACCCAAAAATCATTTCTAAATTATCCTAACTAGATCCCAAAAATAGGTTCCATGCACAGTGGAAAGACAATCTGACCCTTTCGGTAGAATTAAGGAAGTAAGCAACGTTGGGAATGAATTGTAAAGGCCACTAGTAAGTTTCAGCAACTCAAGCCACAGCCTTGTAGCTAATTTTAAATGTCATTTAATTCAAATATTTTGTGCTAAGAATAAGATAATTTTTCTATGTGTATGTAATATGTGTTTAACTATACATTCTTGTCTCCATGCACAATGCTTTGTAAGTCAGGTACCTCCCTACATCTACAAACCAGCATAAGAACAGACAGTGAAATCCTTTTTCCCATAGCTTCATGTCTTATGGGCATATAAGTATTGTTTGTTAATAGACAAGAATTAAGTATGTTTCCCTGCATCTTGCACTCAGCATAAGATAACAAGGCTTAGGCTTACGAAAATGAACCATTGTAACACCAGGGTATGGGTTGTACAGGCATTATGTGTATGTGCAATTTTCTAGAGTTCCACTGTTTAAATTTTTTATACACCCCTTAAAGTTCTGAAAGATTTGCATAAACTTCAGAGTATGTTCCTACACATACATACAAGTGCAGGGTAGTAGTTAGCAATGTCGCAGTCACTAGTCACAGGCTGCCTTCAAACATCTTATGATAAATACCAATGGTGGTTACATCATGCCAATAAGCGGGGATCCAGATGAGGTTGATACAGATTCAGCACAGGGGATACAGTTTTGACTACATAATTATTACTTAATACACTTTGGAATAATGGTACGTTTCCCCCCCCCAAGCGCCTAAATGGTGTGTAGCAAGGCAGTTTTACTTTTCTTTTTGGTATTGATATTACGACTTATTCTACATTCTTATTCTTAGCTTGTGTTATGAAGGATACATGAAAAGTAAATACATTATATCCCACATCACCTGAACACAAATCTGAAGCAGCTCCAACTAAACTACAACATTATGTCTGCGAATTACTTTAATTACTGACACAGGGGAAACAATACCGGCATCAGCAACAGTACTTCAATGACGGGGATGACCGTGAAATTAAGTACTAAAGAAAGTGAGTAAACAGTATGAAAACTCACTCCAAGTCAACTGCGTGTAAAACATAAAACAGATCTGGAACCTACATACACATCGAATTCACAAACCTGTAATACCTCTACATATTTAGTCAATGTGCCTAGAAATGTTACGATTCAACACGTGATTACGAAACGATAATAATTCCCTTAAAGATCATTATTATGTGCAATAAAATCCTCTCGGGCTATCAGCCACATCAAGTGGTTAAAACATGAAAAGACCAACATTTCGAGGTCCATCTCTGTCCTCGTCCTCAGGGTACTGAAGTGGTTATGCTCAGCTTACCGGCTCATGACGTCATCCACCAGTCACACGGGGCTGGAGCAGGTATATATGATACGGTGGAGAGCTTTTTGGTTCTACCCTGACTGAGGTCCTCAGTTGTAAGGAGAATGCCAGGGTATAATCGAACAGGGGCACGGCCTGCCACCCCTGATCACGGAGGCCTTCAGCTGAAGTGCTTCCCCCCCCCCAAGCCGCAGAGGCCTTCAGCCGAACCAGCCCCTCCCTCTTTGGGCTCAAACCACAGAGAACCAACCAACGAAACAACCAAAAATTTTTTGGACAAATTGCCTGATGGGATAACTTCCCATCAGCAGCAACAGACCCTAGTTTGAATAGTCGAGGCTCCCGCCAATACAGAACCCCTGTTAGCGTTAGCAAAATTCCCCTTTTCATTTATGAGGCTCTGTTTACCATTTCCTGCAACGCGTTTCGTATGCAGGTATGGTGTTACCTTGGAAGGGTCGATGTCTTTCGCTTGCGCAGGACTCCGCCCTTACTTAGCTTTTTGGTTGGATGGTTAGTTGCCCCAACCACTTCTGTACCCTGAGGACGAGAACAGAGATGGACTTCGAAACGTTGGTCTTTTCATGTTTAAACCATTTGATGCGGCTGATAGCCCGAGAGGATTTTATTGTACATAGTCGACGTGAATGCCAAAGATCATACATTATTATGTGGTTAAAATATTACTAAACCATAATGCAAATAAGTACCTGGGTTTGACAATACCGCAATAACATTT